TTGCAATTTTGCAATCGTAGATTCCGTTCAAGAATTTTTAATGTTAAAAATGCACCTCGCACAGGTGGGCCAGTCGTCGAAAATGTTGATAAAATCGGAGAAATAATCGCAGGTAGCAGTCGCAACATCGTCCAGGAGCTAAAAACCGACCACAAAACTGTTTTACACCATTTACAATTGATCAGAAACGGCCAAAATTGACCAACAGGACAGGTGTCGTGTTCCACCAGGACAACGCTAGGTCACAATCATCTACAATGACTCAGCAGAAAGTTCGGGAGTTTGGTTGGGAAGTTTTAATGCATCCGCCATACAGTCCGAAATTGGCACCAAGGGATTATCATATTTTTCTTACATTGCAACATTTATTTAATGATAAAAAATTTGTATCTGGGGAGGATTGTAAAAATCTAAAGTTCTTTTGCAAATAGAGAGCAGGACTTCTATGAGAGAGGTATTATGAAGTTGCTTTTAAAATGGCAACAAATCATGCAATAGAGCTGTGCATATTTGACCCAAATCGGACATTCCGGCGCATGTTAAATAAAGTCCTATAAGTCATATAAAAATAATGGATTTCCCCCAAGCTAATATTTCCCATTAAAACCTCGCTATGTCCTACACGTATATAATATATATATTTTTGGATTTTTTTTCTGAAGCAGTTGTTACTAACATATAAATAACTTTTCAAACAGACGAAATTGATGAATGTGCATTCCTGTTTAAAAAAATATTTTTTTTTAAATATCCAGCACTAGGAAAATTTCAAATATTTACGGGAGATCCTTTAATCCCGATTTAGCCATGTCCATCTGTTTAAATCAAGATAGCGATCGCAATATTTGAGATAGTCCTTTGACTTTTTGCGAATACATTGCTACCAACCTTGTATAGTTGGTATCATTGATATATCATTAATAATATTGGTCTATATTTGGGAATATTCCCGAAAAAAAGAAGTCCAGCCCCTACAAATTTCCGCATTACGAAGTAGCTGTAGTTCGGCTGTCCTAGAAGTAGCTGAACTGTCCTAGCCCAATCTGAATGTCTGTATTTTGGTACTTTGTTTTCGATCGATCTATCGATTTTAGTAATCAATAGATATTCCGACCTGTCCGAACATAACAATGTTTTTACTTGAGACAATTCCGTTTAAGCAATGTGGAGACGAACGATTTCAACGATTTTATCCTTATATCCAATTGCATGCAAACTTTGGACATTGTTATATTTCTACCGAAACTATATATAGTACGATGATGGGAATAACGGGCTTATAAATACACTCTCTAATGGTCTAAAATTGGTAGGTCTTAATATTTATAAAAATCGTAGATTTAGTGTAAATATCAGCAATATAGGCTAATCTTTGGTACCACCTACCATCAGCATGTTAATGCCAATAAGGACGGGACCGACTATATAATACCCTTTACCACTTTGGATATATACAAGAGATGATCCTAAGATTCATTTGAAGAATGGGGTTCAGCAATAACCTAAACCGATTATAAAATATTCGCATACGCATATCTATACTTTTTTCCAAACGCTTTGCAACATTTTTGCAACTTTGGAGATTGGTGATCCATTTCCATGAAATCGGACGGAAATATATATGAGAGATATATCTAAATCTAAATCGATTTCAACCAATCTTCACAAACACAATTTTGCACGTAATTTATTACTCTGTACAGAATTTTGTCTCAATCGGCCTCACCGTTGTTAGCAATATCTAAATCTGAACCGATTTTCTCCAATTTCAATTGGATTCGAGCTTGGGCCAAATAAGTAGGCTGTGCCAAATTTCAATTCGGATCCTGGTCACGAGAATACATGGACGGATGGACATGCATACATCGACTCAAAAGAGATTCTATGTATATTCTGAAAAGGAACCATGTGTCTATCTCGATTTCTCTACGTTCAGATATGACTCCAACATAGCTGTACTCTATTTTTAAGGTTTCAGTCGCACTTTCTATACGAGTGCAATAGTACTTTCGGCTTCTTCGTGACTTGCAAAATCTGTAATTTAGCATTCCATATTTCGGTGCTATTAGAATATTTCTTCCCGGAAGATGTTGAATACAGCTCCTAAACAAAGGTCTCGTTTAATATTGGGTAACCTGTTTTTTACCCTACACCATAGTATGGAGGGTACTTTCATTTTGTTTTTCCGTTTGTAGCTCATCGAAATAATCATTTCCGAACCCATAAACTATATTCTTGATCAGCGTAAAATTCTATGACGGTCTAAGCATGTCCGTCTGTCTGTGTAAACGAATTGAGATAGCGCAACGATTTTGCATAGAATCGTATTTTGTCTGCAGGCAGGTGAAGTTCGAAGATGGGATATATCGGTCCAGGTTTAGGTATAGCTCCCATATAAGTGTACCTACCAATTTTCGAGATATTGGGGTTCTTGAGTGCGTTTTTAAACAGAATTCGCTGAAATTGGGTTCATTGGGTTCATATTGGGTACCAAAACTATTCACCGAAAATTATAAATATAGGTAAATTTTTTCGGGTAGCCCCCATATAAGGGCACCCCCAATTTTAGGTATTTTGGGTTATTCGAGCGCTTTTCCAATCGAATTCGCTTAAATTTTGGGTTTTTACTGGTTTCCAAATTTCTCCACTAAAAATGTTAAATATAGGTCCAATTTTTCTGGTCTGGTCTGGTTTCAAATTAAATTTCTGTAATGTGAAGATTTTGATCGCATTTTTATAACAATTTTGTAATTTAGGAAATTTGGATATAGGTTCAGTAGCAAATTTCTCCACTAAAAATTATAAATATTTTTCTGGTAGGGTACCTCCAATTTTCGATATTTTTAGGTTCTTGAGCGGGTTATTCAACTAGCTGAGTTCGCTGTAATTTGTGTTTTGTTGTCCATTATAACTTGTAAACACGATACAGGCCACAGTTATGGATTAATCTTAGCTGAAATTTTGCGTGTGTTGGGGTTGTTACCAATAAGACCGAACAACGATCGGTTAATATTTAGGGGATGAAACGGACCAAATACTTAAGGGGATCGGACCAAAGAATGAGCATGCCTGTTTTTATAAAGATCGGTCAATATTAAGTGGGCCAAATGGACCCAAACTTTTGTGTGAAAAATTACAAAATTTTTATTCTATGACGTATATATTAACTCCCAAAGGACATAGACCAGAGAAGTTGATAGTATATCCAAGAGGAGTGGTACACTTAAATATTTACTTCCCTTGTTTCAGATTGTGATTGTCAATAGATTTCGATTTAAATTTCAAATTAAATTTCTGTAATGTGAAGATTGTGAACTGCTTTAAAATTTTCCATCAGGATCCATGTATGGTCAAAGACAACGCCTATAATTTTCAGTAAAGGTCAGATAATAATTTTGATATGAACTGGACCGAGAACTTATTTTTTTGTATTTTTTCGAGTGTGTGTCTATAGGCCATTGAAAGCCAAACATCGCAACACAACCCACCTTGAAAGGAATCTTGTTGAAGGGAAGATCTGTACTGAATGTAAGTAATATTTGTTGATCTCTATTTTTTTTCTATGACGTATATATTAACTCCCAAAGGACATAGACCAGAGAAGTTGATAGTATATCCAAGAGGAGTGGTACACTTAAATATTTACTGGTCCTTACGTATTCGGATATTATTTAGTAACACATTATCACACTAGCAGGCGGAAATATTGCTCTGATGTCTTTGAAATTTTCCATCAGGATCCATGTATGGTCAAAGACAACGCCTATAATTTTCAGTAAAGGTCAGATAATAATTTTGAGATGAACTGGACCGAGAACTTATTTTTTTGTATTTTTTCGAGTCGATCTATAGGCCATTGAAAGCCAAACATCGCAACACAACCCACCTTGAAAGGAATCTTGTTGAAGGGAAGATCTGTACTGAATGTAAGTAATATTTGTTGATCTCTAGTTGGTCAAGAGGGTGTTAATATTGCAAAATATTACACAAGCTCAGAATACAGAACCACAGAAAGTTAGATTTTCGTGGAAGTTGTGTAGGGTATCATATGGTCGACACCCTCCTACTATACTGCTCCGCTCACTGGTTATTTATGTTTTTGGATTTTTTATACAATTAAAATAATAAATAAAATAAGTTTAAATTGAGAAAGTCCGATGAACACATAATATATTGTTGTTGCCAAGTCTATATCAATGGATTTTGATTTAAATTTTCTATACATATTTTTTTCAATACAGGAAAGACTATTTATAGTCGTGCATATAAAATATTCATAGATTTAATATTTTCAAGATTTATAAGCAATTCAAAAAAAAAAAAAAAAACTAAAGTAGAAACTGTAAAAATTAAAAAAATAATTGTTTTGAATTTGCAAATATACGAATATTTTCTCGGGACATCGGCCGGCATATGATACTAATGGTGGATATATCATTCGATAGGTCGGTGTAACTGTTTGATTTGCATTAGAAATTGTTGTCACTAATTAATTGTCATTTGTCGCTTTTTCTGGATTTGATTTTTTATATTTATATATAAATTTTATATATTTATAAATATGTCTCTACTTATTTTTTCAATGATAAATATTATATATTTATTTATATACGTATATAGTTGTTGTGTAGCCTATTTATATGCATGTTTATTTTAACTAACTTTTAGTTATCTATATTTTTCTTTATATAAATAATACTATTATTTTATATTTTATACTATTTATATTAATAATACTAGTATTTTTTTTAAATTATTTTGTATTTATTATAAAGTATTTGATTTCTGTTCAGTTTTATTTTTCTTACCAAATATAGAATATTTATTTATATTTTTGGTTTTTCTGTTTGTTTTTAGCATTATTATTATTTTTAGTGGAAGCTCCTGTTACACGCTGTTTATTATTATTTGTTGTATTTTTGTTGTTGTTTGGTTTTTATTATTATTTTCTTTGCAAAAAATATTATCAAACATTACTTTTTGACTCCATCCTCAATAGACTCCTTTGATTGCTGCTTTCATGTGGGTTGGTATAAAAAACGAACAACATCGTTGGACTTGATGGGACTGTGGGTTTTAATGCTGTTTCCAACTTGTGGCTGTAAAAAAATAACAATATCAATATATATGTAGAATACAGATAAAATATTTAAAAATAGAAGTACATATAAAATATTCTCTTTAGTAGTATTATATGGGACCATAATTAAAATTTTAGTAATAAGATTATTTATTTCCATATATGGAAGATAATTTTTGAATATCTTCATAACTCACCTTTATAATAGACTTCTCTATACATGGTGGGACAGGCGGCTTTACCATTTGTTTTTGATGTCTTAAAATCGATATTGGTTCGTATGGGCCGATGCAATAAAGGTTGAGGCGGTCTATAGTTGTTACCCAATGGAGCCTTGGGATGGTCGGGACTACCTTGCATAAGGCGTCTTAAAGCGTGTAACTGTAAAATGAAAATAAAAATGTTTAAATAAATTTATATATTATATACCAAAATATTCTTTAAAAAATAATTTTAAAAAAGTTTTTTTCCTTTAGTTTAGTTACTGATATTTGCAACAGTTTACAAAATGTGCATTTGGTTGCCACCACCACAGCAGTCACTGTCGTCTAGCCGCACAAAAAGTTGCAGTAATTACATTGCTCATTTTTATTACTACCACAAAGCAACAAACACACACTGACACATACAAAGGCAACTCAACCAAAATCTGTGTGGGAGCGTTAATTATCTATGACATTCAAGTTAACCCCATTAGAAAAAGAAATGGTTGCAATGACAACCAACAACAGTTACGCAGTTTTAACTGAATTATACACAGGGAGATATTTGAGGGTTTAAGGTCTATTAACTCTTTAATAAAAAATGGTTGAATCAAAGTGGGATTACTAGAGTATTTTTAAAAAATACATATTTATAACGAATAATATAAATTGGCTCAATTAAAAAAATGTCTGTTGATGTTGTCCCTCCCCTCATGAAATTAATTCAATAAATTTTGTCTTTAAAATCTAAGATTTTAATTTAAAAATAAAAATTTTATTTAAAAATTGAGAAATGAGGTTATGATATGAAAATGAGTCAATACAACATATCATCCCTTAAAGATATTTTCCGCCGGCCATAACTGAATTTCTCAGAACTTCATGCAATATTATACAATATTACAGAGTTTCCATCTCGTCTTTTCTCCAATATTCTTTACTTTTCGTAAATTTAAAATTTTATTTTTGCTATTTTTTTCGCATGTATGTATTGCCAAAGAACACATCTAAGTTTTACTCATTACCTATCTCTCACGTGCATTCCAAAGCAAATCTTTACAAAAAATGTGTGCATAAAGTTTACTTAGCGCACTTAATGAGTTCAATACCATCTCTCACAGTCAGTCTGTTTAAATAAAACGCCAAAATTTAAGGAACATGCGACATTCTTTGGAAAAGATTGAAGAACAATTTAACCACGCATTCATTTTAGTTACAAATGTTGTTAATTTCAGATACTTGGTTACATAAGTGACTGAAAAAATGACTTCTACACATATAATGTACATACACATATCATGTTTAAATTTTAGAATTTAAATGATATTTTCTAAATAGGAACTAATATGTATTTTAAAGTTACGGATTTATTTTTATCAGACACCATGAGATGCTATCTTAGAACCAGGCAAAGGTGAATTGGCATTAATTGACTCCTCGCAGCAATTAATGCCCATTCATCTTTGGCTGGGTGTGGAAATATGCTACATCACTTCTAGATATGGACAAAAAACATTGTGTGTTAGGATGAATAGACTAACTACTATTCAAAGTCCAGATGTCCAGAAATTGGCATATGGAACGAGTAAAAACGTCGTTTTCTTATATGATATGAATATTAGTCAATATATCATCCCTTAAACATATTTTCCGCCGGCCATAACTGAATTTCTCAGAACTTCATTTAATAGTATATAAAATTACAGAGTTTCCATCTCGTCATTTCTCCAATATTCTTTACTTTTCGTAAATTTAAAATTTTATTTTTGCTATTTTTTTCGCATGTATGTATTGCCAAAGAACACATCTAAGTTTTACTCATTACCTATCTCTCACGTGCATTCCAAAGCAAATCTTTACAAAAAATGTGTGCATAAAGTTTACTTAGCGCACTTAATGAGTTCAATGGCATCTCCCACAGTCAGTCTGTTTAAATAAAATGACAAAATTTAAGGAACATGCGACATTCTTTGGAAAAGATTGAAGAACAATTTAACCACGCATTCATTTTAGTTACAAATGTTGTTAATTTCAGATACTTGGTTACATAAGTGACTGCAAGCATGACTTCTACACATATATCGTACATACATATATCATGTTTAAATTTTAGAATTTAAATGATATTTTCTAAATAGGAACTAATATGTATTTTAAAGTTACGGATTTATTTTTATCAGACACCATGAGAAGCTATCTTAGAACCAGGCAAAGGTGAATTGGCATTAATTGCTGCGAGGAGTCAATTAATGCCAATTCATCTTTGGCCGGGTGTGGAAATATACTTCATCACTTCCAGATATGGAGAAAAAAAAACAATGTGTGTTAGGATAAAAAGACTAACTACTATTCAAAGTCAAGATGTCCAGAAATTGGCATATGTAACGAGTAAAAACGTCGTTATGTTTATCTGGTCCGATTTTTTTTATAACTTCCTCTATCTGGTGGATATTCAAAATTTAAAATCAGTAGGAGAGATTTGCAACCCACTGAGAATTATAATATGTAACTACATTCAATATGGGTATGAAATCTTTAAAATATCTAAAAAGTGGACTATTTATATATGGAATGATTTCTAAATAGAGTTTCAGACGATCATCGAAGCCCAAGAAACAATACCAGTAACCTTCTGGCGACAAACAATAACATAAGACTTTTTTTAACACAAAACAACATAATTTATTCGATACATTTTATTGAATATCAGAATAATAAAGTCTGACGATAGTAAAGTCTGGCGGGGCCGGCAATATAATTCCCTTCACCACTCTGCGTATATTGAATCGACTAAAATCAATCCATACATAAGACATTCTGCAACCTATGCTAAATATAATTTCATTCGGGCAGATTTAGAGTAATTTGTGTACAAAGGGATAAAATTATTTAGATCGATTTACAGCAAACATGGCATAGGCTATTATGTATGCTGCAGCACAACGTCCAACCCAAAATTTAATGTCAATAGGATACCCGTTGATTATTTAGTACACAAGTAACATGAAGTTGGCCGAAAATATATTAGGTTGGGGAAAAAGAAATCCATTATTTATTAACATGTCCGACTTTGGTCAAATATGCACCGTTTTGTTGTATGATTTTTTGCCACTTTAAAGGTAATTTCATAAGTCCTGGTCTCATAGAAGTCCTGGTCTCTATTTGCAAAAAACTCTAGTTGTCGATTTTCACAATCCTCCCTAGATACCCATTTTTTATAATTAAAGAAATTTTGCAATTCAAGAAAAAGATGATACTCGCTTGGTGCCAAGTCCGGACTGTATGACGGATGCATTAAAACTTCCCAACCAAGCTCCCGACGTTTCTGGTGAGTCACTGTGGATGTGTCTGGCTTAGCGTTGTCCTGGTGGAACACGACACCTCTCCTGTTGATCAATTCTAAATGGTTTAAAACAGCTCCTGGGCGATGTTAAGACTGCTAACAAATTCGATCATTTCTCCGATTTTATGGACATTTTCGACGACCACAACATCAAAAATTCCTGAATGGAATCTACGAAATCAAAATTGCGCATAATTGTCTGTTACAGTATCGGAACCATAAACACCATTCACAGTTTTAGCCGCTTTGCTTGCATTTTCACCTTTTCAAAGAAAAACTGTATTATGTACCGAATTTTCTCGTCCATCCATCTGCACCAATCACCTGAATTTGGCTCATTGGTGCACTTAAAGTCCAGCTATATCTAAATCTGAACAGATTTCAACGAAAATTGGTATATATTAGGATATACTAAATTCAGTACGTTTTGCAAAATTTTGTGTCAATCGGCTTAACTTTCGGCATTTGGTGTACCATTTATAATATTTCGTTTCCTTTTGCCTCTTACAAACATACGCACAAAGAGATAATACCCTGTACCATAGTGTGGCGAAGGTGGCTAATTATGAATCTATGAGCATGAGACCAAACTAATAATACAATAGGATGCTTGAGACTTTGAGGTCGAGAGAAATCCAAAGAAAATTTTCCATTGAGGAATCACCTCTTTGGCAAAACTGGTCACTATTCCGCTTCAGCAACGTAGAACTGGAAATGGTATGTGGGATATATATATATATATATATAAACCCGACATTTTATACAAGTATATTTTAAATTTTGACTCAATTAATTTAATTAATGTTTTTACACAAAACTTAATATAGTTGCTTTGATCCATTTTTTTCGAATATGAAAAAAATAAGATCAAATAGGATTAACCGCTTCATTTCTCAAATTCCATTTAACCGTTTTATTTTTTTAACAAACTGACAATCCAAATTCCGATTTATCATTACCAAATCTATGCAAACCAACCCAGTAGATAGTGTCTTTGCAGACAACATTAACGAATCGTGCAAGACAATGGAAATTTCTTGAAGACACTTTGCAAACAACAATGTGAGATCCTTGACGAAATTTTCACACAAGTGTCGCAGTATTCATGCAAGACAACTTGGGCGACAAGGTAAGCGAAGTTGTCGTTGACGACAACTTCGGCGACAAAACTCCCTACTTTTCGTTGACGACTATCATCGACTATGTCGTTTACACAGTCATTGGCGACTGAATACCCATTGTCATCAATCATACCCCATTAAAAATTCAAATAAAAATATACATATACATTTTGAATTTATATTTTTATAGCATGTAATTTACTATATAACATTGCATTTACGTTTATAATAATATAAATAAACACATTGGATGATAAGTTGTCGAGATGATTTTCGACAACTTATCATGCATTTCAGCTCTATCCGTTCACCCAAAATCCAAATTGTACTAAATTTATTAACATTTAGTAGTTTCGTACCCATATATTTCACCAAATCCTCAATAATACACTTCAACAGTCATTTTAATTCAAAAGAAAGTTCTATCTGTACACCTAAATCCAACTTGTACAAATTTTTATATATTAGTCCTCTACTCCAAAAGTAATCCGAATTCATATTTTATATATTTATCTTATACGCTTAAATAAATGTAAATAGTACCAAATTTATATTTTTACACATAAGTACAAAATTTCATGCTTCTAGCTTCAGCCGTTTCGTCTGGGCGATGATTCACAGTCATTTTTCACTAAGTTTTTATATATTAAGGTTATATAACGACATTCTCGATTTAATTTATTAACAAGTGTTTAGTCCTTAATGACAATTCCA